GACTCAGCCTTCCATTCTACTGACGTTGGTAAAATGAGGACCCAGATTGTTGGGGGCAATAGGCTGACTCTGTAAACCGCTTAGAGAGGGCTGTAAAGCACTGGGAAGCGGTATATAAGTCTAAGTGCTATTGCTATCTATGAATTTATACTCTGCTGTGGCTATGTAACAGGCCATGCTCTTTGATCAAGTGAATGTTTCCCAACCCGTGCTTCTTGGCCAAGAGAACAGCAATGGAAAAGATTAGCTTGATCATGGACCAAAGAGTTCTGAGCAGCACACATATTTACAGATACTATCTTCCAGCACCACGGACAGGTCCAATTACTGTCCTTAGTTAATTGCTGTTGCTTCATTAAAGAGACAGATTAAAAATATATATATATGGCCAAATCAGAGTTTGAATTGCACCAAACAAGGCAGCATACTTTCTATATCCAGTCTATTTACTTATCGAAATCCATATTCTACGCTAAGGAAAATTAAATTATTCCCCAAAAACATTTACTAGCATTTTTAATTATTTAAAATAATGAAGAGGAGAGGGCAAACATATTACTTCCTCATGGTGCCCTTTATCTAATCATAGCTTTTATTATGTGTGAGTACACATATGGTCATACATACATTTACACATACTTTGCCAGTTTCATTCATGATTGTACACACATATTTGGTAATGATACTAACAAAATAATCTGCAAAGCTCCTGAATGATCTTTGGATGATTTCCCAAACAATTGATGAAATATTTTAATTTCTTCCATTGAGTTTACAGGCAGAAGGTTCTTGGAACAAAACTTTATTGGAAAGAGGCATGATTTAAAAGATTCTTCAACTTCCTATAGCCTTACAAACACTCAACTCTGACCCAGAAATCCAGAAAACGGCAATGGAAGCGCAGCAAGGGAATTTCGAAGAAAATTACTCTATAAGCTCCTGGATCAAAGAAGCTTTTTCAGCAGAGCGATACCACATCTACACTTGCACGAACCTCATAACAAAGGAAGCAGCATTAGGTTCGGTTAGTACTTGGATTAAAGAGTGTGAAGAAATCCCAGGGCTCTAGTTTAGTGTAGAAAGCTGAAGGCAATGGCAAACCACTTCTCCACTGACACTAAGAAAATATCATGGACTTTTTCCATGTCAAATTTGGCTCAAGGAGATCAGAGGTTTATAAACCTCTGTAGACAAGGAGACAACATTTAAAGGTTGGATTCAGGGAAAATGAGTAAGTTTAATGATGTATCAGATACATACTTCTAATCTCATATCGATCAGCAAATCACTATCCCTGAGATTATATTAAAGCAGAGCCAATACTACATTTTCAAGATGTGAAATCTGAAATCTAAATTATAAAGCGAAGAAGTACAGAAGTCGACATTCCTATACTCTGTAGACCCGCTTAGAATATAACTATAGGAGATCTGAAAGAACTTATTTATTAAAATGCTAATGTATAATATATAGATAATAAAAGAAAAGAGTTATGTAGATTAAATTAAGTCTTAGGAAATATGAAAAATCTTTCTGCTGTATAAGTTATAGATTAGAAGACTGGAATATAATTGAAGCATGTATAGTTTTATACCTGCTTAAGGAATGTAACTATAATTGTTGTACCAAGAAAAAGGCAATAAAGACCATAGGAAAAAACTTAAAGTGTTAATAAGAGCCTTCAAGCTCTTCTATTTCTAAAAAAAAATGGATGTTTAAATAATAAATGGTTTAGACTTTTTGTATCTTTCAACTATAGGCGCTTTATGTGTGAATAAAAATTTGCAGGCTATATATATATGTATGTATGTATATATGTATGTATGTGTGTGTGTATGTATGTATATACCGTATTTTCACCCATATAACCCACGGGTTATATGCGGTTTTTACATGCACAGCGCCCCC